CTAGAAAATAGTCTTTGGTCATTTTAAAATAGATCATATAACAAAAAAAACTCATTTAAAGCAAAAATTCTAACATACAGAGGATGGCAATTCTAGTGTAGTGGTTGGGTTGTCATCCTCTAAATGGCAGGTTTAAGGTTCAAATCCTACCTACGACAAAATTTAGTAATTATATCTGCATTACAGTAAACTGTCTTTTGTCGATCAGTTGGATTTAGATATCTGTAATCTTGGATACAACCAATCAGATTCTACTCATCATTGGGAGCCCAGAGCATTTATGTGAAGTATAATATTACATATACGTAGAGGAATGTTAATAACCAGTGTTGCATAAGACTTTGGTGCAAACCTACGATAAGGCCACCAGATGTAGAAGTTCAAGAAACTGAGAAGATAGAAGCCCACTTGGAAATTCTCAAGTAAAGAATAGCACAAGCCTTTGACATTTATCAGTTGGTCTAAAGGCCTATTGTCTTGATGTTTTGTTTATTGTTGGTGTTTTTTCTTTTTTATGCTTTATTTTGGCTTATGTTAAACTATAATGTGCTGTTTTAATGTGTTATAACTACTTTTGTCTATATAATTATTTTATTTATTTGAGTTTTTGTTATTTTTTATTTTTTGCTTATATTTTTAGGATTTTCAGAAAAAAGTTCTTTATGATCTGTTTCTACCTACATATTTATTGATCTACAATCAGTAATCTTCAAATATTATAATATTTGTCAATTAGCATTTACCTTTTTTTGTACTTATACTTTATATTTTTCTATTTGGTAAACTCTTATCAACTTCATTAAGTCTTATAAAATTCAGCTTACTTTTTACAAAGTTACTATACATTAAGATGACCTATTTAACAACTTTGCTGACCAACTTGTCTGCAATTACTAAATATTACCTTACTTAACATTCTTAACTAATAATCTTTATAATATTAACAATACTTTTTTTATTAATAAATTTCCTATTGAAATTCTTATCTAATACTTTATTCAAACTATATGCCAAGCCTACATTATAACACTTTGTACATCTCAACATCATTTTTAACAATGATCTACTATTGCATCTAATATTAACTAAAAAGCTACATAGCTTTATATCAACAACAATCAAAAAATTTCTAATTTTGTTTACAGCTTGTACTCATCTATTTTGAAACTTTTTAAGTTAAAATTCTTACAGATGAACTTCCTGTTTCTTATACTCTTTATAAATGCAACTCTTCTCTTTTTTTCTTTTGTCATCAATACAACCATATCAGCTCTTCATTTTATTAAACTATTTGTCTCTTAATCCAAACAATTTACTACTTAATTTCTAATTCTCTTAATATTTTAAATACAACTATATTTGATATGTTTACTAATCTTGTTTTTGATTTACATACTAAAATTCTTATACTTAACAGTTTCAAACTGCATAACTTTTCATATATATCTTCTTTATTTTTATCCTATCTGGTTTAGTTTCTATTGATCTTATTTCTATTATTCACAATATTTTTATTTTTTATTATACTACTACTTCTCTTTTTATTAAATTTCTTTTTTACTTAAACTAACAAATATATAAACAAATATAGATCCTATACTGTATTTTATATTCTACATAGTCTCAAATTACACTTTTTACTAATTCAACTTATAGTTATTCTTCTAGTTTATTTTTATCTTTTATTTCAATACTACAAATTATTACTAAAATTGATTTTTAGACTATCTAATAGATTAAATATCATATTTCTCTTTCTTATATTATTACTTAAACCCAGATCTAAGTAAGTCTTAGTTACTCTTATAGATTTAGGTTGCAGATTATATGTCTGAGTCTTTATTCTTTATATGTAATTTAAAAGCAAGCTTTTTTTATAAAAATTTTAATTAAATTTCAATAAAGTTGAAGGTATAGCCTTATTATTAATATTTAAAAAAAATATATATATAGATAAAATAGTTAAAAAAACTATACAGAAAACTAGTGTTAATTTTTGTTAGAAAAAAGAAATGATAAAAGATCCTATAAGACAATTTTTAAAAAAAATTTTAAATCTTAAAACAAATATAAAATAGAGCTTTATATCAGTGATTAGAAAAACAGAACTAGATAAGAATAATAAAGCATACAACTGGTCATATTTTTAAAAAAAGATAAAAGACCAAAATAGAACCAAATATATAAGTATAAAAAAGATCAAACAAATAAAAACTTTGATTAAATATATAAATGAAAATTATCAGTGACCAAAGCACTAGTACAATACTATTCTGATCTTTACAAGAATGCATATTGTATTCTTTGTAAAGAAGACAAATAAGAAGATCAAGATCATCTAATAATTTGTAACTACTATAAAAATATATGAAAAAACATAAAAGATATATTAGTTAATTTGGTATAAATAAAACTATCAAATGAAGCCAAAATAGAAATAAGTAAAAATCAGCTTAAAAAGATATTTTAAAATTCACAAATAGATCAAAAAGTTAAAACAAAACAAGGAATAAGCAAAGACCTTGTACAAGAAAAAACATTAGAACTTTTGCAAAACATTCTACAATCTTACAAAAAGTAAAAAAGTTTTATACTATAACAATAAATACTGCTTAGAATTGCTTTATAAAGATATATAGAAAAAATAATATAAGGTTTTTATTTAGTAGAAAAAAGAAATAAGAATTGGAAAAAAAACTATGTAGAAAAAAAAAAGATAAAAAAAAATCTAATAGAAAAGAACAAGTTTAGTAAAATAGAAATAGAAAGAAACTAAGTTATAGAGAAAAAGTAAAAAAAAAAAGAGATAAAAAAAAGAATATATGATGCATAGCTTAGCTTAATTACAGAATTTATAGATAGCAAAAAAAGGCTATTTATACATGATTTTTCTGACTAGTTTGGTATAATTCTTAGATCTGAGTACATCTTAACTGATATAACAGACTGCTTTTGAGCACTTAAAGAAGTAGCTAGATGATGTCAGACCAGAAATTTTAAGTTAAAAATATATATAACTTATATACAAAAATCTTAATAAAGATTTACAACAAGGCTGCCAAAAAGAAATAAAATAAAATAAAATAAATAATTATATAAATAATTATAGCAAACATATTGTATTCACTTTTTTAACTAGAAAAAATAACAAATAAACCTTAATTTTAACTAATTAACAAACTTTCAACATCATATAACCCAATCATTAGGCATATATGCTTTCAAAAAAACTATACTTAGTCATATCTCTATAGACTTCTAAATCAATTACATATTTACTCTAATATATTCTTTTATTGATCAAACAATTTGCAAAATTAATATATATTTGATCTATTTTATAGATTAAATATAGTATATATACTATCAAATTATAAACTAAATATTCAAATTTAAATAAGTTTTGACCACTCTAGTAGGTTAAATCACAAATAAATTAATCTGAGTTTTTATTTTTATATATAATTTTTAATTTATTTGTTTTGTACAAATAGTAATAACTGTATAATTAGCAGTTAAATGATTAATCCTAACTGCAAGTGCTAACTTTAATTATAATATATATACATATAACTATTTTAAATTACTAATAAAAATATATATAAGCAAGACCTCATCTTAATACTAAAAAAAAAAAAAGTTTTGCTTTTTATTTCAGATTATTTAATAAATTTAATAATAAATATTTCATTTATTTATTTTGAGTGTATTTATTTATTTTTTTGATAAAGTTTTTTTGTATGCATTTATTATTTTGTAAGCCTCTTTATACAAAGTCTTTTTCGTTTTTAATAGTATTAAAACAATAAATTGCTTTAAAAATTATATAATTTGATTGGTTAATTGTTACGGGTAGAGCTATAAAAATTAACCAGTCAAATGAATGTCTTCCCATAACCGAAAAGAAATGGCAATATAAATGATGATCTTTAATTTTAGCCAATTAAACTTCTTACTGATCAGCCAATAAAATCGAACTTGACCTATGCTCATCGCCCACAATTTCGCTGTAATAAAGTTATCAAAAGCAACATGGTACTTTCGATCGGACAGATCCTTTATGTTATAATACTTATAATAAACGCTATGGCTGTTCTGAACGAGGATAGATTCCTTGCTCGAAGTAAACCTTCTTTTTCTTTGTCTTTTTTGCAATGTTTGCGGGATTGAACTATTTACCTTGAATTTATGATTGAAAGTTGGCATGAGTAATCAACCCGAAACAGGGTTTGGTGGAGATGGACCATCATTTAAGACAAATCTTATAAACCTCATATCTGCTGTTCGAACACTAATGAGAAGTAAGTAAATATGAAAAGAAATAGAAAGCTATATAGGTTATTTTTGCTAATTCATACTTTATTTTCAAGTTCCATTAATCGTCGTTAATATTCTGGTTATAATTTACGAAATATTGTTGGGATAAGAATGCTAGCCTGTTGACCCATAAGGTGTGTGTTACGTATGTGCATATAAGAGATTTTGACGAAGCTTTATTCTTGAACGAAAAATTTGACTATTTACCATACACCTACGATCAATTTGGAATAAATTCAACCATTAAATAGTAGTAATGATCAAGACAATACATCATTCTAGGAGTGGTGGTGTCTTGTTCTCTCATTATGCATACGTTGTACCCTAGATTGGAATTTTCCTGATTTAAATAAGAGCTTTGGCTAGAATCAGAATTTAAAGTTAGAATTTTAATTTTGGTCAATATTCGAATTCCAATTTTGGATACAATCTATATGTAGGGAAATTTATTAAAATACACTGAAAAGAATAATTGTCACTCATAATAATCAAACCTTTGTGTGATATTATTTAGGATTATAGAAGGAATTACAATAAATGACTTTATTTTTTTCAACTCTCGATTCGAATTTAAAACTTTAGATTTTTGATACTGCATTGCTTTTATGTTGATAAAATTTTCATGATATGGAGTTTAGCAAATTATGGTAATAGACCTATTAAACTCATTATTATTATTACTCCTATAAGCTGTTTCCAGCAGTAGCAGAGCTTTGTATCCCGGCAACCAATTCATTATCAGCATCCGTTTCTTTCATCTTGGTAATGCTACTAACGTAAATCTCTGCTTCTTTTAACAACCTCGCCATATTCATCTTACTCAAAGTTCTATTCCTTGCTGCCTTGTATCCCTGATCCATCACAACATCCTTCTCTGCTGTCTCTATTCTTTTGTAAAATTCTTCAAAAATCCTCCTCAAATTATTATCTCTTAACACGGCTGTACGTTGAAGTTCCGTTGCTTTAATACAATGTATTATTACTTCCTGGTTTTTTTTAATTTCTTGTATCATCTCCATATCTGATCTTTCATCCGCTTTGTTAAAAAAAAGTACTGCAAGAGATAATACTATGAATGCCATTCTTCTATAATAGTCTGTGTTGTTATATAAAAATTCTATAACACCTTGTGCTGCGTTTTTTCTAATGTCCGTTGTTAATAAAGTGTAAAGTTCAATAAATCCACATCCAATAAGAAATATTACTCCGTAAATCCTCCAATGTGATTTACGTTTAGTAATAGTAGAAATTCCAAGTACCGTCAGCATCATAACATAAGACCAAACCACGTTAGGAACAATAAACATGGAATAATCGGTAATGTTTTTACAATAATTACATTCAAGTAAAGCTTCTTGTCCGTAAGCTGCATAAATCAACCGATTTTCAAGGGATGATAGTTTTTCCAACAGGAGATTGTCTATGGGCGTTAGTTGTGAATTTTTTGTCAAAAGAAACGTACGTATAATGCTGAGTGAAGCGCTGGGTGAGATATTACCCGCTATAAAAATATTAGGAGGTGGTGACAAAAAAGTATAATAAACTTGAATCAAAATCGTAGAAACCAAAAGATATATAATTGAAAGATCAAATATTGTTTTTTGCCGGTTTGTATTGTTGTGATTCAGCCCATTCGTCCTCATATATTCTCGACCTTTGTCAATAAGGAAAGGTAAAGCTATAAATATAAATAATTTAGTTAATTCTGAATTAATCATTTTTGAAAAATGAACTAAAGTCTGGTGTTCTAAGATTTAATTTTTATTTAAAACATCCAAAATTCGTGTCACCTAAATTTGACTAATCATTTGACAGCCAGATCAACCAATTAAAATTCGACCTGCGCCTTTTACTAATATATAATATTTTAGGTCGTCAAGCAGAAAAAGGGTTATAATACCTACCAATGCTAATTTAAAAGCTACTTGCGAAGAATTCGTTCGAAACGAAAAGTACTTTGAGGGAATCCCTAAATTGGTTGGTAGCGTAGCATTTGGTACATTTTTAGATGGATCCGAAATATTACCAGACAATAAACATTTCTTTTAGAATGTTGTTTATAATAAAAATTATAGTAAAACATATGAATTTACTGTAAACTTCGAGCTGAATATCTAACTAAATTACTTAAAATTAATTTTGCGATTATATAGAACAAAAGAGAAAGAAAAAATTTAGCTTAAAAACTAAGTTAAAATTTTGCTGATTTTGTTTATTTTAAAGATGAACTTCTTCAAAAGTAATTATTTTTTAATTTTAAATAATTATTATATGTAATATTATGTATTGAATAACTTTATTTATTTATTTTTATTTTTTGGTATTAAGATGACCTCTTTGATTTTTTGATTTTATTAACATTTTTTAAGTAACATATTAATTATATATATAATTTTTCTATATTACATATTTAAAAAGTCTGCCTGAAGGTTTTTTATCAATTGTTGTATCTAATACCTTTGCTTGAGTGTTTCATTTTAAACCTTTTGATTCTGCAACCTTGTATTATTTTTACTAAGTTATGTTTAAATTTTTATCTTAATCTTAGAATTAATTTATTTTTTTATTTTTTTTTGATTTTTAAGGTAAATCTTTTTGGTCTTTTTGATTTTATTAATACTTTTGTTGAGCATTATAACAAGTATACAACTGGTTACATATGTAAATTTTCTATATTACCTATTTAAGAAGTCTGCCTGAAGGTTTCCCACTAGTTGCTATACCTAACACCCTTGCTTAGATGTTCTATTTAAATCCTCTGATCTAAAATCCTTGTACTAACTTCATTAGATCACTTGTATTTAAAACTTTTCTTAACCTTAGAACAATTTTATCTTTAAGATAAACCTACCAGAACAAGCTATATATTTTTTAAAATTAATTTATTTTTAAATTAAATTTTTAAAAATTTTTTATATTCTTATTTATAATTAACTTAATATTGCTATAATTAGAAGCAATACTTGTAATTAAGGTTAATCATTAAACTGTTATATTTTTGTAAAGTTCTTATAATTTTAGTATCTTTTTTTATAATTTTATTAGTATTTTGTTTATTATTATAAGTTTTTTTATATTACTAATCTAATAAGCTTATATAAAGTAGTTTTATATCTAAATCAATTAGTAATCAGATTAGTAGATTTTTTTATCTAAAAGTTCTTATTTATACAGATTATCTATTTTAGGTTTTCTTCTTTAAATCAAGATTTTTATAAATAATACTATTAAAAATTATAATATTTTTTTATTTAAGATTTCTAAACAAAGTTTCTTATAGAGTATATACTATTTATATAATATTATATATATCTAAACTTAGTTTTAACAATATAGTAAACAAGTAGTTCTTTCTAATGATTATTCAAACCAAACTTTTCAAAAAGCTAAACTACAGAAAAATAATATAGTTAATTTCTAAAGTATTGTATACACATAGTTAGACATTTGAAATAGAGTTAAAAAAAATTACAGCTTTATAATAATAGTTTAAAGTGCACTTTAGGACTATAGAAAGTAGTTGATAAAAGTCAAAATTTTTTATTAAAATAAATAACAATATTAAATATATTAGTTCTATATAATTATAAACTTACAAAAAATACTCACAAGAACAAGAATTCACAAAATCTAAAAGTTAATTAATAAGAGACAATTACTATAATACAAATTAATTTTCAAATTTTATTATAAATAAGATTTAAATATTAAATTTGCTACTTAAAGAATGACAACCTAACTATTACACTAGAATCACTATTTTTATTATATATATTTAAAAGATATTTAAATGTAATTAAATAAATAATTATTTTTTAGAAAATAATAATTCTAATACAGTAGTTAAATTGTTATTTTTTAAGTAATAAATCTAATATTCAAATTTTAACTATAACAAAATTTAGAAATTATATTTGTATTATAGTAACTGTTTTTTATTAATTAGTTAGTCTTATATAATTGTAATTCAGATATACCAAATCTAGTAATTTGAAAGCTTAAACATTTATACAAAATGTAATATTATAAATGCATTAAAGAATGCTTAACAGTATTATATAAAACTTTGATACAAACCTATAATAAAACTATCAAGTATAGAAGAATAAAAAATTAAGAAAACAAAAACTCAATTAGAAATTCTTAAATAAAATGTAGCATAAATTTTTAATAATATTATTAGACCAATTAAGACTTATAAACTATCTTTAAAAAAACAAATTATATAAAATATAAAATAATAATTTTTAAATTTTAATTAAAATATTTTATTTATAATAAAAGTTATTTTTTTATTAAATAAATCAAAATTCAAGTTTTAAGTAAAATTGTTTAGTATAATAAATTATATATAATTTTATAATTTTATAATTTTTAAAAAATTTTAAATTAACTATTATTTTATTAAAATAATAGTTAATAATTGCTAAATATAGTAATTTATATTA